GGCCCAGCCCCCGCACCGCTGGAGGCAGGACCCCCACCCCTGGGAGACGGGGAGCGGGGCTGCAGGGGGGTGGGTGGGCGCAGAGCCGAACGCTGGAGACAAGCAGGTCACCCCCGCTTTCTAGCCAGGAGGACTGATTCCTCCTTCTGACTAAAGGTGTGGCCAAGTAGAAAACCCCAGTCGCTCCCCCCACCTTTCCGGGTCTTGGAATGGTGCTGAAAATCCCTCTCCAGCTGTGGATGGAGATGAGAGAAACAGGACTGTGGTTTCTCTTGATTTCTGAGGATCTCAGAAGTTGCTGCAGATGTCATGGCTGCGTGTTATTCCTTTACAAAAGGAAAGCTGTGCCTAGCGCAGGGCTAGGGGCTGCAGGGTGAACGTCACCCAGTAAACGCAGTTTTCTAAGTGACTCCATGGCGTGGAGGGGATTCCGATGCCGATAGCATGAGCCATGCTCATTATTTAAGGCTGGTTTCTTAAAATCCTGTGTTGCAATGGCAACCTCGTCCATTTTAACTGGCACCTCAGGGATTAAAATCCTATATTTTAGTATAGTTTCCACTTCATTCATGAAAAATGAATAGAATTAATGTATTATGGGAGATGTGTCAGTGAACTAGACAAATGTCAGTAACCTCAAAGGATGAAGGGTTTTATTTTAAATAGTTTATTAAAAATATATATTAACATGGACATTTGAAAAATGCTGTCTAAGAATAAAAACTGTGTTTTTTTCCCCTTTTGGAGAGCAGAAAATTTTGTTATGACTTTAGATACTCATGATTTTAAACATGTTGTTTAAAAAAACCCACAAGTTTGGATTTCCAAGAAAAGAATTGAAATGGGAGGTGAGGAATAAAGTCAAAGTTAGAATGGGAGGAAAAAAAATAAATGTTACATGAAATCTTTTTGTTGTTGTTTCGTGCCTGTCTCTGTGGTTATCTTCAATGGCATCCCTTTTGTCCGACCCTTCAAATAACTGGAGAATTGGTAGAAATGGAGAAACTGGAAAATGGAGCAATGGCCCCTGAGTAACTAGGGGTTTTTCATTTCCTGTTTGTTATATGCTACTAGAGGCCTGGTGCATGAAATTCATGCACTCGGGGGGAGGGTCCCTCAGCTCAGCCTGCACCCTTTCACAGTCCGGGAGCCCTCGGGGGATATCCAACTGATGGCTCCCCAGGGGAGTGGGCCTAAGCCAGTCAGTTGGACATCCTAAGCACTGCCCGGGAGGCAGGAGAGGCTCCCACCACCACCGACACTCCACTCTCCAGCCGTGAGCCTGGCCCCAGTCATGAGCCTGGCTCCTGCGTTGAGTGTCTGCCCCCTGGTGGTCAGTGCATGTCATAGTGAGCAGTTGAGTGGCCTTAGCATATCATTAGCATATTACGTGTTGGTTGAACAGACAACTGAATGACCAGTTAGCATATTAGGCTTTTATTACGTAGGATGGTTACAGTCCAGCTGAGTAATTGTTAAGCAGATGGAGAACTAGAAGACTTACCTAAAGCTGGAATAAGATGGTGGGCCACATGGAGAGGAGAAGTTGGTAGGGAAGGAAGAGGAAACACCTCCACCAGCCTGATAGAAAGCGTGCATTCTGTCTGCTCGTTCCCTTCTCCTGACATGCATGGGTTCCACAGTCTGTCTGGATGCTGCAGAGCCTTCCTACCAGCCACTGGCTTCATCACCGTGCCTGAGAGGATGGACCGGAGCCTTCCTCTGCTGGTAGAAATAGAAAAACTGGAAAATGGAGCAATGGCCCTGCTTAACTAGGAGTTTCTGAGGCCTCTACTACTTTAGCAACCGACTCTCTGAGATTGGGGCTTGAAGGCCTGGAGGGCTGTCTTAGAAGTGAACAGTCATAAATCTCCCTTTGACAGGAGGCAATACAGTGTGCTTGAAACCCTCAGTGGCTGGCCCAATTATATCATTTTGGGAGCCTCTGTTGGCTAGTAACAACTACCAAAATTAGCATCTCTGAAACTGGGTCCCAACCTTGTGGTTTCAGTCCCTGGACAGCAATGCAGGAACCATCCCATTCCTCTGGGCTTTAGGTGAACAGGTCTATCTTGGTCTCTGGCTCTTAGGAAAATGAAACAATGGGGCGTTGCCTCCATCCCCTGGGTGCATCCAAAGCTGGCAATGAGGAGGGATACGGCCCTTGTAAAGCAGTGGCTACTGGAGATGTCTGGGGAGACTCTGGGCATCTGGCTTTCCCAGTTCTCCAATATCCTGATGCCTTTTTGCCCAGTTGGTAAGGTTTCGATTTTTAGGGTGCTGGGGACTGTGTCTGAGGGAAAGTGCATCAAGTAGCAGTTCCACCCACTGCTTTACTTCTATATGCTGGGGATTCCAGCTTTTCAGCCAAAGGTAAGGGAAACTCCACTGTTATCTTCCCTGTCGTGACTGAAGCAGTTTCACAATTTAGGTCTGTCACTCACTCCTGGGTCCAGTTTCTATATTAGGAAACTTTAATTTGCAACAACAAAAAAATACCCAACTTAAGAGCATTTGTTGGTTTATATAACCAGGAAGGGAAGCCCTGGATCTGGCTTCAGGGATGACTGGGTGCGAAGGCTCACATGCTGTCAAAAAGGTTAGTCTTCCTCAGCTCTCAGCTCTGCTTCTCTCTGTTGCTGGTGTCATTTCCTTCTACTTCAGATGAAACTGTAACACAAGTACCAGTATAATGTGTTGGATTGTTCGCTACCATTCAAGCTCCCACACAGCTCACATGTTCTGTGTGTGTGTGTGTGTGTGTGTGTGTGTGTGTGTGTGTGAGAGAGAGAGAGAGAGAGAGATTGACAGTTTACTTAGTTCAGAAGACAGCATGAAAGGGATGTTTTCAGAGCAGCTTCCCTGCTTGTCTTCCATGGTTCCACAGAGAAACACTCGCTCACCGTTCAACATCTGAGAAGACGTGAGGAAGCGTAGGTGCCTTAGAAAGCTCCCAGCAACTTCCCTCAGGGCCTATTCCTGTGCTGCAAGGCACAAGTGGCGATGATCAACTCATGGCACATGTAAAGCCACGGCTGAACCTGCCATTGGCAGGGAGCATACCATAGGCACTTCTGGGTTTATTGACATCATTCCAATATAAGGAAACAAAAGGCAAGAAACATCTTGCTTCAAGGTTCGAAATTAAAATCACAGGGAAGGAATGCTTGGCCTATCTTTCGTAGTGTGGCCATCCATGGACCAGCCACTGTGGCCCAGCAGATGGGTCTGTCTAAGGAGAGAGTAGAGAGAAGGTGTTGGGCAGACACCAGCAATAGCCACTGCACCACCCATTCCTTTCTTTCTTGGCTCTCCTACTATCTCTCTTGATTTTTAAAAAATCTTTCTTTTAATTCTTTATTGTTTGAAGTATTACATATAGTATTACATAAGTCTCCTTTTGCCCCCATTGACCTCTCCTCGGCCACCCCCACCTCCCCTGCACATGCCCTCCCCCACACCCCAAGTGTCTGTGTCCATTGGTTATGCTTACATGAATGCATACAAGTCCTTTGGTTGATCTCTTACCCCACTACTCCCCTGCCTTTCCTCTGAAGTTTGACAGTCTATTCCATGCTTCTTTGTCTCTGGATCTATCTATGTTCGTAAAAATATGGAACGCTTCAAAAATTTGTGAGTCATCCTTGAGTAGGGGCCATGCTAATCTTCTCCGTATCGTTCCAATTTTAGTATATGTGCTGTTGACACGAGCACTTTTTTTAAAATATATTTTATTGATTTTTTACAGAGAGGAAGGGAGAGAGATAGAGAGCTAGACACATCGATGAGAGAGAAACATCGACCAGCTGCCTCCTGCATATCCCCCACTGGGGACGTGCTCACAGCCCACGTACATGCCCTTGACCAGAATCGAATCTGGGACCCTTGAGTCCGCAGGCCGACGCTCTATCCACTGAGCCAAACCGGTTTTGGCTAGCACTTTTTTTTTTTTTAATCTTTCTTAATGTTATCCCCTTTTCTTACCCTCTTCAATATGGGTCTGTACTTCTAGCCTTGACCCTCTAATTTTCTCATTCTAAATATCCCAAGACATCGCATAGATGGCAATGGCTCTAATGACCTCCTACATGCTGATGGCTTGCAAAGTCATTCTCCAGTCCTAGCTAAGTTTCAGACACATGTAGCCCACTGCTCCTCAACTGGCTATCATAGGAGATAGTTATCCTTCTGGCAATATTGGCAATGCCAGATAGTTTGGTTGTCACAAGTGGGTGGGTGGGATGCATTTGTTATCTTGTAGGTAGAGGGCAAGGATGCTGCTGACCATTCTATAATGCTGAACTCAGCCTTCTAACCATTCCCATCAACGTCCAGCCTGTGAGTGAAAAAATCTCCTATGATTCCCGCCATATGTTTCTTCCAAACTAAAGCCCCAGATGTGGTAGAGTAGACATAAAGCATTTCTGCTGAGCCCAACATCTTGGCCTGCAGAATCCATGAGCATAGTAAATTGGTGGTTGTTTTATGTCACTAAGTTTCGAAGTAGTTTGCCATGCAATATATGACTGGACAATTCTCCAAACTGCACTCACCTCCCAGACCCACTGCTCTATCTGATTTTTATAGGTTTATGTTTCTATGTCAGTCCGTGACAAGACAAGTTGTAGGGTTACCCAAGTCAGAAGTCTGGGGCTGATTCCAGTCTCTTTTATTTTAACCTTCACATATAACCAATTAGCAAAGTTTCCCAATTTTAAATTATTTATATTTCTTGCATCAATCATTTCTTTACAGTCTAATTCAAACCCTTATTATCTCCTGCCTGGACACTTGTCAAAACTTCTAAACTGTTCTCCAAGTCTTGCCTCCTTCAGTAGCATCCTGAATATAGATACCAAAGTGATCACTATTAAATATGTTTCTGCCCATGTGTCCATCCCTCCCCCACCCAACTTTCTTCCCTTTGCTTATTGAAACTCTTTAATCGCCTCTAAATGTCATGCCAGGTCCCACAGCTTCATCTCCTGCTCCTCCTTCTTGCCCATTCCTTTCACTCTAACAATATTGAATTGCTTATAGTCCTCTTTCACACAGAATGATCTAGTCTGATCATGATTTTGCCTAAAACACCTCCCCCCAATCCATTTCTCCCACTCTCTACCCATCCTCAAGGTTCAGCACAAGAGTTCCATCTACCAGGGAGACGTCCAAGCCTTCTCCAAGCTGAGCCAAGTATCATCCTCCAAGTGTCCATGTCTTCTGTGTTTGTGATGATCATTGCTCTCACCACGTTGCTGTGAAATCGTCCATCTGTGCTTCAAAGGCAGGGAGCATACACAGAGCCTGCCACGTCATATGCTTTCAGCAATTACTTATTGAACTGTAGTAAGGCCTATGATGTATTCACCAAACACTATTTCCTCTGCCTCCTGGGCACATAGATGGGCTGCATTTCCCAGTCTCTCTTGTAGTTAGCTGTGGCCATGTGACCAAGTTCTGCCCAACGGATTACAGCAGTCTTCCCTAAGTGACATTTACTGCTTTCTCTACTGTTAATCATCTCCTCATGTCTTTCAGCTTTAGAGTCTCCCATCTTCTTCTACATCAATTCATATGTGACCATGTGGTATGGCTATCATTGTACTTTTCAAGTTCAATTCAGCATTGAGAGTCTTACACAGCTCTTACAGGTTTATAAGGATTGGATGTTCCTTCTTGAAGTTACAATGGCTGCTCTTAACCTCACTGATGATCAACTTTCTAGTTCTTCCGACTTGAAGAAGTAAAGGGAACGGTTTAAAGCTTAACCATGGGGAGTGTGCCTCCTGTTCCTCCAAAATAGTCACATCATATATCCTTTTTATTCCTACTTTCAAGATCATCTTAGTATCACTTGATCTGAGGCACTTGACCCTCAGATGCATCTAAAGTCTCCTTTGTACTGGAAAAAACATCATTCGGTCAGCGCAAGAGGGGTCTGCCAGATGAAATTCCCTTTTCCTGGCCATCTTTCCTTTCTGTTTTCTTTCTTTCGGCAGTAGGAAGAGATCTGGGACTAACAGTGACAACAATAAAATAAAAAGTGACTTGTACTTCCAATTCCCATTTGAAAAACACAAGAAACTCAGGGGCACCAAGAAGAAAGATTTATCTGGGCCTAAAGCCAGGCCCCATAGTGGGGAGTCCATTCAGACTCTGAATTGCACAACCAGCTCCACATAGTCAAAAAGATGTGGTGAGGAGCTAAACATTTTCCTTTGTACTCCTGTTAATTTACATTTTTGTCATAGTTTCTGGCCTTTTCATGGTATCCACTGAGCCAAACCGGTTTTGGCTTAATTTACATTTTTGTCATAATTTCTGGTCTTTTCATGGTACGTATCTGATGTCTTATACCGTGTTATGACACCAGTCTTGTATATGTCTTTGGAATGGAAAAACTGTTACCACTCCAGGCAATACCTGTATATTTGTGAGTGAATTCCTTGAATGGGAAGAATGCATTTCTGATTTAGGAACGTTTGATAGAAAGGAGAGACGCACGCACAGAAATACATTTTCTCTTTATGATGTGACAGTTACTTTGCAGAATTAGCGTTTTGCATATTCAGGACTCAAGAGGCAGTTCCTGTTTTTTGAGATATTTCTCTCTCCAGGTGAGTAACTCATCAATAGGTATGGCAGTCCCCAGCATACCTGTAAGGGACAGGCAAGTTAAAGTAAAGGAGATTTGAATGACATGAGCTTCTAAGAAAGTATTTTGTAAGAGACTGGAGAGTAGAATTTGGCAAATTACAGTCTATGGGCCAAATCCAGCCCACCACCTGTTTAGATGCCACATGCAAGCTAAGAATGGTTTTTACATCTTAAAATAATTACATTTAAAATGGTTATATAGCCGAAACCGGTTTGGCTCAGTGGATAGAGCGTCGGCCTACGGACTGAAAGGTCCAAAAATGGTTATATAAGTACCTACATAATAGCTTCGATTTTGCCTCAGGGCCCACAAAGCCTAAAATATTTACTGTCTGGCCCTTTAGGGAAAAAGTTTATTGATACCTGTTGTAGAGTAATGGCCTGGAAATGTCAACAGAGAACAGGATTAGTGCAGAATTTTATCCCCTCCCCAACTGTGTTAGGCTGAATAACAACCCCAAAGATTGAAATTTGTGAATGTATTACCTTACATGGCAAAAGGGACTTTACAGATGTGATTAAATTAAGGATTTTTTTAAAATAAATATGTTTTTATTGGTCTCATAGACTTTTTTTTAAAAAAAATATATGTTTTTATTGATCTCATAGGAAGAGAGTTAGAAACTCAATGATGAGAGCGAATCATCCATCAGCTGCCTCCCTCATGCCTCTACTGGGGATCAAGCCTGAAACCTGGGCATGTGCCCTGACCTCCTGGTTCAAGGGTCAATGCTTAACCACTGAGCCACACTGGTTGAGCTAAATTAAGAATCCTGAGATGTGAGATTATTTTGGATTATCTGGGTGAGCTCAATGTAATAACAAGGGTCCTTAGAAGAGGGAAGCAGGAGGGTCAGAATCAGACAGGATATGTGATGACAGAAGAAGAGGTTTCAGTGATGCAGCCATGAGGCAAGGAAGTCCAGTAGCCTCTAGAAGCTGGAAGAAGCAAGGAAACAGAGTGTCCCCTGGAGTCTCCAGAGGGAAGCAGCTCTGCCGACACCTTGATTTTAGCCGCATAAAACTCATTTTGGACTTCTGAACTCCAGAACTATAAGATAATAGATCTGTGTTGTTTGAAGCCACCAAGTTTGTGGTAATTTGTTATAGCAGCCGTAGGAAACCTATACATTTATCAGCCCTGCACTCCTTGGGTTGTAGAAGAATCATAGACTTCACCTTAGAGTCACGCAAAATATAGTGGGTTCCTATAGGCAAGCTGGGTAAGAGGAAGACGTCAAATTGCGAGAGGAAGTTTAGAGTGTAGGACATTAGGACATGTAGCTAACTGAGACCGATGGGTTAGAGAGCATTTGGAAAAGGCACCCAAGGACTCAGTTGTAATCCCTTAGGGAAGGAAGAACTGCCCAAGGAATGTCACTAAAGTCAAGG